ATTAAATTTTTGGAGTAAACACAAATAAAAGTAAGGTCACAGATATTTAAAAAACCCTGCAATATAAAATGGTTTTTAATGTTTGTTTTTGTTTTGCTATAAACTATTTAAACCATACACGTGTACATAAATTGAATTCTTCATTTAAAACCAAAACAATGTGACGTTCGGTTTGTTTACAATTAAAATTCATATGCAAATAAATTACTCAATAAAAAACGTAGCTTGAATTTCATAATACTAGCACTATTAATTAATTTCTTGTTGGTTCTGGTAACTTCGCTTGGTAACTTTAATTTAAATAAGAAAATTAATAGTTCTAATGATAAGAAAATATTAATTTTGGCTTGGAAAATCATTTTGTATTTCGTACCTTTAGGATGCCTTAAATATCACCCATATTCTCTTGACCTCGACTGTTCATACATATGTCATGTGTTTCTGTGTACGAATTATTTCACACATTTTCACAACACGGATATACAGTTACAGTATGAAGGCGAAATTCCACCACGTTCATTAAAGGAGGGATATATCATATATGTGGATATTATATAGAGGGGGCAGGAAGGGCCGAGGTGTGGCATATGCAAAATCGGGTGTACGCAACAAGTTGAAGAGCCGCAACATATGCATGACTAATGGCCAAGAAGAAAGAAGCAGACGGCAACGTGCGGAACAAGAAATCAAAAGAAAACCACATAGGGAAAATGCGGAGAATTGTAATCCAATTAATGGGCTGCGTCTTCAATGTCTCGCGTACCCGTAGAAACGTGAGTGCGGCAATCGCGAATTAAAAATCTTTCCATTTCTTCGGTTGGGGAAGTACAGTGATCACTAGGTGAGAGGAACGACAATAGACTATAAAGTCTAATGGGAAGAAGTGCGTTTTTTAAAATATTAAGTATACGCCCCGTTTTTTCAATAAACAAATTATTGTTGCTCCTTTTAATTTTTAATGTATTTTCTCCTAAAACTTCGTTGTTTGTTCTAGTATTTTTATATATTTAATGAAGAACTGGAATTTTTTTAGTTCTACAAAATGCATATATTTATAACGTGAACTCATGAAGCAATATAATTATTATAACCCATTTGTACTGTGCTCCCATAGGTGTCACTGAAGCCTAAAAATAAACAGCCAGAACACTAGAGATACGAAAATAAACAAATGAAATGAAAGGTCTATTAAAAGTATGTGGCATGTGAATGGGTGCAGAGACAAGCGCCAGCTTTTCTTTTCCCCCGAATCGCAGCAGAATCAGAATCAGAAGCAGCAACAAAGCCAAAACAATAACAAACAAATAGCGCATTTTTCAAGAAAATATCATGCCGAGATTTAGTTGTTCGGGAAATGACAAAGACAGCCAGCGGAAGCGGGAAAAGGAACTCAAAAATAAAATTAGACAAATAAACGAATTTTTTAAATGTGTAGAATAATATACTTTAGCATTACGCATATCAAAGGAAGGTGAAATGATTTAGATGGAGGCGGTTCCGTAAATTGAATGTTGAATAAATAATATAGAATGGATTTAAACATAGCAAGTAACTTTAAAAATTTTTTAAAATTCTTTTTGGTCCTAAAAATAAGTGTGCCAACAGTTTTAAAGCCACCTGAACACGTGCCACACGAGACCCGTTTAGACCACACTCCCACCTCCCAATTCCTGGCACACTCATCATCCAAAGTCCAACCAGGTAGACGCAGTACGCCTGCCAAATCTTTGCTGCTTTGATTATTTTTGGATCTGTCAACCCTTCTCGTCTGGTTTGCCTAATTTGCCTTTAATGTGGGGGATTGGGGCTGGAAATGGCGGGGAAGAGGCTCAGTTATACCTAGCATTGTTTATATTTAGCATTTCATACGCTCTCGTTTGCCAAACTGTCTATAATATGTCCATCAAAGTGTCTTTTCAGTTTGACATCCATTGGTGGTTCGCAGGACTGGTGTTTTTTTTTTTGGAGGAGGGGGGAGGATTGATAAACATTCCGACGGGCGAACGTGATTGCTACCATATGTCCGATTATATCTATGGCAAGCAATATTGTGCTTATCAAACTGTTTCGGCTCATCCAATTAATACACTTCACGGCCCCTCAAACTCCCCATCCGCACTTCACTCGTGACGGCTAGATATAATGAAACTAATTAGCATTTGACAAACATATTCTCATATTCCTCATACAGTGGGCGTTGGTAAAAAAAAAAACAAACACTCGGCCCACCGAATTTTCCAGAAAATTGCATTATAACATGAAAACCTTTGCATGTCCTTTAAATTACACAATGTAATAGGTGAATTTTGGGTTTTAAGTAAATTGCAAGGGAAATTGGAACTTCTTTGGGTCATATTTTATTTCAATTATTTTTAAGGTAAGTTTTGGTTATATTTTTTTTCTAGTTGTTATTTATATTTTCTTCATTTTTTTTGACAATACGACTTAAATCCACAAAATTAGCGAGGTCCCACTGTATCAATAAAAAAACGAATGAGTAAAGGACCAAATAGAAGCTGACAAACTCCAGTTGGGAAAACAAATTATAAGCCCGCAAATAATGATATAGTCACATGGATTCGGAATCAAGATAAATGCGCGTGCTATGCCGCTTTTTGTATTTCGTTTTTCAGCAATTTGTTCGATTTGCTAATGCGAACAGCTTAGGCAAATATTTTGGCATAAAAGTCAGCAAGTGACAAAATAGTAGCTATTAATTGTTTGTAAGTCGGCTCGCTAAACATGGCCAGTGCGAGTCAATAGTTGTTTATTGTTTGTCTCTGAGCGAAACAAAGCGGCCTGAAAATGTTGTTAACCTCAAAAACCGCCAAGAACGTCAACAAGTGAGACTTGCAGCCCCCTCCTTTATGGGGGTTCAGATAGGGGCGTTAGGCTAGCTAGAAACTGGAGAATCAGAATCGGATGGTAGCAGACAGTCATCGAAACCCCAAATCCCCCGCAAAAGGTTGACGTAACAGGCCAGGCCAAACTCTTAGCATTTCAGCATTATTTTTTTGGTCGGTATTGAAACAGCTGTCTTGCCATATTCGTAGCATTTGAATGGAAACCACACGCGTGCTTATTAATATAGAAAATTTTTAAAACCCAACACCGAAAACTCACCAGCAAAGTCTGCTCTAAAACCTGCAGAAGTTCGAAAAAATCACAGACAACACTGAATACTATTTTAATTGACCGTCCTTAGATCTCTCATAATTTGCCATGCATTCGGCTATTTTTAAATTCTGAATCTGATTTCTTTTTCCGTTTTTATTTGTATTTTTATACTCTGTTCATTTTTGTCGCTTTGAGATCGTTTCTTCTACTTCAGTTGCAACGGTTAAAATTCCTGTCTACACATCCGATTTCGCTGCACTTCTTTGGCACTTCGGTTGGCTTTCGATTGTTGTTATCACACTGGACGGGCAAAAGGCGTACAAAGGCACAATGTAAACTAATTTAAATTGAATTCAGTGCTCGCAGCAAGTGGAAAAGTGAAAAATAAGGAAACCGCAATAAGGCAATAAGACGAAACAGTCAACGCGGCGACGTTAAAATTAGCACTGAAACGCGCCGTGCGAATGCGCGCCTATGATTTCTTTGCCCACTCTCACTGGCTCCCCAACAGAGATGTCGGGCTCTTGGCGGTCGATATAGCTAAATGGGTACTGGAAAAAATAAAAAAATATATGAAAGTTCTTGAAACTAATTTTGGAATTTTAAAATTTTTCCTAGGTATTATTGGTAGAAAATTTCTGTTACAAATATTTAAAATAGTCAAAATAGTAAGAGTGGGTAATTAAATAATTAAAGGAAAAGAAATACAAGTATTTTAAGCACATTTTGGTTCACCTATTTTTGATTATTTATAAGTTCTAGGCAAGGGGTCTTAAAGTTCCCTTAAAAATTACTCATACGACATGTATGCTAGCCTTGTCAAAGTGATAATTTCGTTGTTCCATACAAAAAATATTATTCTTAAACAAATTTATGCATTTTCTATTTTAAAAGAAATCTGTCGGAAAATTAGCTAAATGTATTACACTGTATCCCCAACAGCTCTCGCGCTCTTTTTTAGTGAGAGAGGCGAGGCGCTGATGACCGTGGGGCCGGCGCTCTCTTTTGAAGAAGATTTTTGTAAACAAAACCGCGACACGCATTGTTGCTGTTAATGTGATTGTTGTTGTTCTGATAAACGCTAATTTGCCTATTGATATTGATGTTAATGTGCCTTTGCTCACACAGTGGCGGTCAAGAAGTTAGTATTGTTACTTAATAAATCATTGAAGTTTAAATAGGATAATGACCTTAAAACCTTAACCTTAACCTTAAAAAATATTATATTTAGTTTTAAATTAAAGGCTATAAAAGAATTAGAACTACACGTCCTTTTTAATTATCTTTAAAAGTACCATATCCATCTGGAGCGATCGTTTCTAGTCTAAGCTCACCAAGTCTTGGTCAATTATCTTCAATGTGAACGGTTTTCGATAGATGGTTTCGAAATAGACAGATGGACATGTGTAAGAATCTAACTTGATTAACTAATTATTGACATGCTGCTCTGCAACTACTATTGACATTATGGACACGTAAATTAATATTTAAAATTTTTAAATTATAAACCGGTTCTTATAAATATTACAGTTATGAGAAAACAAATATTTAACGTATTGCATTATTTCCTGGTCTCAAGTTATTGCCATAGTGGGTGTGTCATGTTTAATCTTTTGGAGCGGCTTTTATAGTAGGTATCCCTCTCTTTGTCTCTACAGGTCCATCTATCCTGAGAAATTTTCATAGGTTGAAGATGATGCTGCAGTCTATAAGGGGGTACTTATTTAATTCGTTTCTATTTAACCAGAATAATGTTCCCATTTTGCACTCACCTTAGAAGCAATCGCACAAAAATACGGTGAGTATTTAAATAATTTAATAAACGCGGTTTGCTAGAATATCGACAGACAACAGCATATCAATGCATTGGCAAAAAAGAGCTATAGGTTTGAATCTATTTATTAAATAACAAAACTCTCATTCATCTTCGAGAACAATATTCTTAGGCATTACAGAAAGTGTAATATTAGATAAATGTATGGTCGATATTATATTTACCTTAGATGTATGTATGCTAAAAAATCAATATTTAAAATTGTTAATTTTTATTCCTATGAAATGTACATGATCTACCAGAACTCCTTGTACGTCCTAGACAGCTCTCGGTAGTCCTTCGCTTGTGTATTGTGTTGAATACACAGCACTTCTTTGTGCTTGCTCCAGTCCGCAATGCTGTGGTGAAACATCACCTCTAGGATAAGCAGCTGCTCGTAGAGCACGTCCCATTCCACGCCAATGGTTGCGGCACAGGTTTCCAGTAGCCAGCGAAAAGAGCAGGAGAAAAGCTGGCGCAGCTCCCTCTTGTCCGACTGCCGAATCTTTCTCATATAGCCGTGGAGAAGCCAGCAATCAAAGTTGGACACGTGCAGCAAAAGTTCCTCTTGTTTGGACGACGCGTCATTTAAATCTTCCATTCTTTCGTCTGATTCCTTCTCTAGCTCTTTGGAAACCAGTTTCTTTTCCAGATGACGTGGCTTATCCAGAGGGACGTTCAATGGATCCATGCTCCCCTCCTCGAAGGTTTGCAGGGAGCTTAGAGTGTCTAGTAATACGTCATTATCGTTCATTTTGAGTAGGAAGCTTGGCGCCTTGGTTATCTCCCAGTAAGGATTATTTATCTCCAGTCTCTCACGCTTTCCCTTGAGCTTTTGTAATTTTTTCAGATAATAAGGATGATATTGTCCAGTGGGCTGAACAAATCGAAAGTCCGGCCGTTTTTCCTTCCTTTTTAGTTCACCAATCCACGTCTCAGTTTTAATGTCACAGTTGGCGCGGAACTCCCGATTCTCACATCGCACATGCTGCAGTGGACGGAAGAGGCCTACTTTTTGTATCTTCTCTTGACAGGCGACCTCCTCCACTCGCAGGTTTAGACCGCGCTGGGCCAAGTACTGCGAGAGCTCTTTAGTTTCTAGAACAAAGGGATCAAGGTCTCGCTGCGAGTGATCCACGTGCATGTTGTCTGGTATCCTCAAGCTCATTTTCTCACCATCGGGCCGCGAGGCTTGGAGTAGGATTCTCTTAAAATAGGAGTGAGCGGGAGTCAGGCTGGGCTGGAATTCAATGCGATCATTATCTACACTTTCCTGAATCGACTCGCCAAAGTGATCCCTTAGCATTGTTTCGAAGATGTGCGTCAGGTTTTCGTGCTGACGCTGCATTGCTGGATTTGCCAGGGTTTCATCGTAGCCCAGCTCCTTTTCCTTCCGCTCCTTGACCAGGATGTCATCCACCTGCCTGCCCATCTGGGTGGGAACCCCAAAGCGTCGCGCGAAGCTCTGGTTGTAATGTGAGATAATTACTTTCCGTATATCCACGAACTGCATCCACTCGGTGAAAACAAAAAGGAAAGGAGCTGCTGCTCCGTCGGCTTCCAGTAGTTGTTCGTTGATTTTTGCAGCCGATTCGGATATCTTTTGCTCCTTGATGTCATCCAAACCGAAGAGCAGCTTCATGGCGTACAGGATGTAGGCCATTGTCCTGGCCTCGTACTGCGGGTACGAGTGTGGACCCGTGGCGTTGGCGAACTTTGGCGGATACAGGTCGATCAGCTCGCCCACGTACTTAACTAGGCGAGGCGGAAGACCCAGTTCCATGATGTAGCGCTCGGCCAGGGAGTGCAGATTCGGTTTCTGGAACTCAGTTAGGTTTATGTACCGCGACATGTAGGCTATGTTCAGACGCAAAAGCTGTAATACAAAATATAGGGCTATATTTATATCCCGTTTCAAAGGAAGGCTTACAAATACTCACCCTGTAGGTACACTTGTCCTTGTGGTTACCAAACTCCATATCGTTGAGCAGCGCCTTTCCCCTAGTGGCCACATTTTCGGGCAGATAGGTGAGCATGTATCGCTTGGTCAGGTGCTCCTCGTCTATGAAGCGTAGCAGGTCCGTCAGCTGTATATCGTCCTCCACCATATTAAGGGCAATGCCCAGAACAATGTACAATTTGGTGATGTTCAGGCAGTACATGTTGCGTTCAAAGGCGTGCAGTGTCTTGGCCTTGGGTCGCAAACCGTGGCACGACAAGCTGGCTTTGCTGTCCCGACTGTGCCTGTCCAGGTGTTTCAGTGACATATGGCGCTTCAGGGATTTGCGAGCATGCACGGACCATTGGAGGGCGAGACTTTGTTCCCCCTCGGACTCTGAAGGACCTTCTCCGACCTTCTTGTAACCCGAGGCGTCGAGATTGCGCTGGAAAAATCAAATAGGAGCAAGGTGTTAGAGTAGCTAATGAGATAAGAGTAATGGGAGGTGGACGAACACTAATGACTTGGGTAATTATGCCATTTACATAGTTTTTGCACCTATATAAGGCCATGTTGGCCAAGCTAATAGTACTTCACAAGCTTAACTTTCAATAAACATGTCTCTTCGTGTGGCTCTGATTTGCTTGGCCATCTTGGCAATGGCTTATGCACAGCCTGCTCCAGGAGCTCCAGAAGTCATCGAGGGTAAGTTAAATTCTACGTCCCTTTGGAGATTCCTTACATATCTTGTACCCCACAGATTCGGTGTCAGTGGAGCAGGCTTCAGAGGAACCAATAGATAGTGCCTATCAGAGGACCCTCGTCCTGCTTCTGCCCTTGCTGTTCCCCAATACATTCTATGTACCCTCAGGTTCAGGTTAATAAAGGCGATTAATTGAGCATTCAAGTACCTTGGTCCTGTTCCACATTCTAAACTTGGAGCGCTCATCATTTGGGTCGCCTGACAAGCGGTTCCTTTTGCCTCTGTTGACCTTAGGCGGCTTGTATTTGTATATGATGCGGGCATCTCTGCAAGAAAGCTAGTCGGTTATATATGATATAGTTAAATGGAGTCAAGAACTCACCTAAGCAGTGCCCTCACATTCAGCTTGGGCTGCCCCATCCTGTTGCCCCGGCAGAAGGCCACCTCCATGCGGCCCAAGTAGGCCGCCCAAACCTGCAGGGTCATCAGCTTGAGCTCCGGCTTGGCGCCCATGTTGAGCAGCTCCTGGAGGAAGCCGCGCAACACGTAGTTGTAGAACTCCCACGAGGTCAGTTCGTTGTCCTCCTCCTTCTTGGCCACATCCTTTGGCTGGCGGATCGTCCTGGAGGCATACTTTCCGGCGGTGGTCTCGTTGAAGTTCTCCTCGGCGGTAATGTCCACCGCTCGAATCTGATCCTTCTGAGTGCCGCATTCCACGCAGTAGTAGAAGCCCTCGCGCTCCTGGAAGGTCTTCTCCCCGCACACATCGCACTGCATGTTCTCCAGCTGCATCGTGTCAAGAACCTCCTCCATTTTTGCTATATATTAAATTAATATTATTCAAGTCAAATGCAGTCCGCGTTGTAAACAAATCGCACGTTTTGTTAATGGGCCATCACTGTAGTCTGACAACAACAATCATGATTTATCGATATCGAACAGATGTTGCCGCGTAATTTGAACTCAAATGTAACAAATCTTAAAAAAGTGTTTTTTTATAAAATAGGGTAACAACTTTAGTTTTCAAGGTTATTGAATTTCTAAAATTGCCGATAATTAAGCTTGCATGGAAATCTCACTAAAGTTCAACAATTCACCAGTTTAACAGTATAGAGAAATCCTTCTGCATTTTATTTTAGAGAAGAGGAACATATCCTTTTTGTTTCAGGAAACATAAAATACAAAATTTATAAAATAAAAAAATAGCAATAATATATAGCTTCTTATTTTAAATAGCTAGATAGATAACTAGACCACTTCGCTAAATTGCCAGCAGTGTTATCACTTACCTATCGAAATTTGACCATCTCTAACCCATCTGTTTGCGAAAAAAGGATTGTATTTTGGAATTGGCCAGTAAATTATAAGTAATAATGAATCTTATAAGCGGCATAAAGTTGTACATTGAGAAAATGTGCTCCGAGTCGGGACCAGGCATGAAAATCATCCTGCTGGACAAGGAGACGGTAAGAGTGGCCCTGAAAAGCCCCGACATATGTATGCATGGTACCTTCTACTCCGAAAATCCACATCATTTGCAGACCAGTATCATTTCGATGGCCTTTAGCCAGTCGGACATGCTGCAGAGAGAGGTCTATCTGTTCGAGCGCCTGGACTCGGGAAGATCCAACGAGCGGCTAAAGTACCTCAAGTGCATCGTCTTCATTCGCCCCACCAAGCAGAATATCCAACTGCTGGCCAATGAGCTCAGGAATCCCAAATACAGCGCGTATTACATATGTAAGTGGGTCAGGGAAGCCCTTTTATATTCGGTACTTTACCCTTTAATAGATTTCAGCAACATCATTCCGCGGACCGACATCAAGTACCTGGCCGAGTGCGACGAATCCGAGTCGGTGCGCGAGGTTAAGGAGCTCTATGCGGACTACCTGTGCGTCAATCCCAATCTCTTCTCCCTGAACATTCCCAATTGCATGGCGAACCTTAATTGGCTGCCGGATGCACTGAGCCGCAGCATGCAGGGCATCACAGCTGTGCTGCTTTCGCTGAAACTTAACCCAGTGATCCGCTACCGAGCGGGTTCCCAGGCAGCCCAGCTCCTGGCCAAGCTGATCTACGAGCAGATCACCAAGGAGTCGTCGCTGTTCGACTTTCGGTCCAACATGGATGGCGCTGCGCCGCCGCTACTCCTCGTGCTGGACCGCAGAGATGACCCAGTGACGCCGCTGCTCCATCAGTGGACCTACCAGGCAATGGTTCACGAGCTGCTGCACATCAAAAACAATAGATTGGATCTCTCCAATCGGCCCAACGTACCCAAGGACTTCAAGGAGCTGGTTCTATCCGGCGATCAGGACGAGTTCTATGGCAACAACATGTACGCCAACTACGGCGAGATCGGATCGACCATCAAGCAACTGATGGAGGAGTTCCAGCGGAAGGCCAACGACCACAAGAAGGTGGAGAGCATATCGGACATGAAGAACTTCATTGAATCGTATCCGCAGTTCAAGAAAATGTCCGGCACCGTGCAGAAGCACTTGTGCGTGATTGGCGAACTTTCGGCGCTGAGCAACAAGCGGAATCTCTTCGAGGTCTCTGAGCTGGAGCAGGAGATCGCCTGCAAGGCCGAGCACTCCGCTCAGCTGCAGCGTATAAAGAAACTGATTGCGGACGAACGTGTCTCCATCGACGATGCCCTTAAGCTGGTGGCACTCTATGCGCTGCGCTACGAGCGACATGCCAACTGCGACACATCCGGATTGCTGCAGATCATTAAGACGCGCGGAGGTCGAGCCGCTGTGGTGCCCTCGCTGATCGAGTATGCCGGAACCCATGTGCGCCAGGGAGATCTGTTCAACATGGTGCGAATCACGGATGCCGTGAAATTGACCCGAAATCTGATAAAAGGCCTTAAGGGAGTGGAGAATGTTTTCACGCAGCACACTCCCCTGCTAAAGGAGACGCTCGAGGATGTGTTTAAGGGTCGCGAACTGGATCCCCTCTTTCCGGCCATCAATTCGGAGCTTGTGCCATTCCGACGACCACCGCAAGAGGTGGTGGTCTTCATCATTGGCGGAGCCACGTACGAGGAGGCCTTGGCCGTGCATCAAATGAACAATACCGGGTATAAGGTCATCCTGGGCGGCACCACCATCCACAACTCGCAGAGCTTCATCCAAGAGGTCATGGCCGCCACCAGCGGCATCCAATTTAAGCACACCAAATCCATGATCAAGTACTGCTCCACGGATAATATTTAAATGCCTAATTTGACTAGCCCCAATTATACTGTTAACTATTTATTAACTACATATGTATGTGCAAAGTCCATTTTCTAAGCAATCCTGCATTCAAGTCAACTGCAAAACTGTTTTGAAGTTTTGTTTTTTAAGCTTATTCCAAACATTATTCTACCCATTGCAATTCATTGGACTATATAACCCTTTAAGCGTATTCCATGTAATATATTTGTAAACATATTTATTATTGTGCTCGAGGGTATTTCGAGGCAAGGCCTGAAACAAAGTGTATTATAATCAGCTACCTTTTTGTAATAATTCCACCCTTGAATGGCAAAGAACTCCTTGGCAACTCCAAGGATAGCCTGGCAACGTTCCGTGTGGTTCAAACAATTAGTTTTGCATTGAGGAATCCCAGATCACCATGTCCAGCACGTATTTCAACGACATCTGGCATCAATCGCAGCATGAATGCGAGCTGCTGTCCACCATTGACTATGAAAGGCAGCACCAGGATGTGGAGACGACGGTGGCCACCATGAACGCCGCCGTTGGCTCGGTTGCCGCCGATGCGGATGCCAAGGCCCTGCTGCAGTCGAGCCTGTACGAGTTCTATCTGCGTTACATTTGCTTGAGCAATCGGTTGGAGGATGTCTACGATAATGTGGGTATAAGACTTTATGTTCTCCATATCCTGGGTTCGGAAAATAACACACGCTGTAAAAATTTGTGTTACTAAAATGTTAAATGCCAAAGTGTTAAGTTCAAAAAAGTTATTGACTTGTGTAAAAAATTGTATCCTACATATATACACTTAGTGTTTTTTACACACCTTTTTTTTTGAACACAATGAGTTTTTGACATTTAAGTGTCAGAAATTTTTCTAGAGTATAAGAATTTATATATGTATTCTTTGAAATGGTTAAAACTAACATATAAGATATCATGTCCCATATTGGTTATTTATTATCCATTCGATTCGTTAATGTCAGTGAAATGTAATTATCGTTTACGTTAAAAACGCAGTGTGTAAAAAATACGTCGTGTTATTAACACATTGTGTAAAAAACACAAGTGAGCTGTGAGCGTTAACAATTATTTTTCAGATTTTAGCACTTTTGTATTTGACACACATGTCAACAATTTTACTCGCACTGTAAAATACAATTTTTTATGTTTTTAACATGTGTGTAAATTTCCGAACCCTGCTCCTTACACATGTTTCTATTCCTTAATTTTTCACAGATGATTCAGCCCCAGAAGCGTCAGTTGGTGCGTAAGTTGCTGGACGCCTGTCTGGGTCGCGTGGTGGAGCTTAAGCACGACCTGGTGAATATAGACCTGATGGAGTTCAGCTACAACGATGAGGTGGTGGAGCGCTTGCGCCTCACGCCCATGGAGACGGAGCTGCGGATTCCACGCTACTTTCTCCGTGAGCGCCAGCAGGAGCTGGAGTTCCGCAAGAAAACCATGCAGGAGATCCTAGTGAAACTGGGCTGGCTGGAAGAGCATGAGATGGAGGAGACGGTGACCACCGAGATAGAGGCCATACGGATGCTGCAGATGCATGAGCGGGCGCGTCAGGGACGCTTGCGTGCCCACTTCATGAAGGAGATCCGCATCCTCAAGGAGAAGGGCAAGTCGGAGGAGCGCAGCGAAAAGGAGCGCAGTGACTCCGGTCTCCTGGCCGCCATGAAGATACAGAAAATGTGGCGAGGCCACACGGCACGGCGGATCACGAGGCGCCGCAAGATGGAGGAGATGATCCTGATTGGGATGCTGCCACCACCGGCGGCTGTGCTGAAGGAGCGGGCCGAGAAACTGGAGAAGCTGCAGCACAACGAGAAGCGCTACCAGGCGCAGGCTCTTTACGGCGAGCAGTTTGAGGAGCGGCAGCGCGCCCTCCAGGAGGAGATCCGGGCCAAGCATGGAGCCAGTATGAAGGAGGACATTGCCGATGAGATCCGAGCCTGGGTGAAGGATTGCTACGACAAGACGGGCAAGCTGCCGGACTTTCCCTCGGAGGATCAGGGGGGCTCCTTGCACATCTTCAGTAGACCTGGAACGGAGAGCGAGCACAGTCGCTCTTCGGCCCGATCCTCCAAGGAGTCGCGAAAGACCAAGGACAAGTCGAAGTCGCCGGCGCGTAGCGGCGACCTGAACGTCAACGAAAACCAGGAGGAGGAAGTCAGCTTCCAGCCGGCACCCTCCGTCTGCCTGCCAGACATCCGAGCGGAAATAGATCTGTAAGTAAAAATAATATATTATTATTTAAAACAAGAGAGACCGCTATAGTCGGGTGGGTGTCCCGACTATCTGATACCCGTCACTCATTTAGAAGTGCGAGGGAGATGGAGATATAAAACTTCAATTGCGCATAACTTTTTAATGAATGATACGATTTGAAAAATGTCTTCTACATTTCGATAGGTATAAATATAAACAACAAAATTGCATTTATACTTCTCGAAAATCTTTAAATATGTGGGCGCTAGACACATTTTAAAATCGTTAGTGGGCGTAAGAGGGGGCGTTGCGCTCAGCTGAAATAAACATACGCTGCGTAAGAAGCTTAAGAATATGTGTGGGAAATCTCAACCTTCTAGCTTTTGTAGTTTCCGAGATCTCAGCGTTTATACAGACGGACATGGCTAGATCAACTCGGCTAGTGACCCTGATCAAGGAGATATACACTTTATAGAGTCGGAAACGTTTGCTATTCCGTGTCACATACTTTTGCACGAATGCAATATACCCTTTTACTCTAGGAGGATCTAAAGGATTTTTTAAAAAATCCTTATTTAAATTACTAGATTAAGAAAAGCACATGAAGAATGATCAATGTACTTAACTTATCCTCTCAGCTTTAATGACACCTGGCGAGACAAGGACGAAACCGGTGTGCTGAGCCAGGCGGCCTACGAGGACATGATCTACAGCGACAAGTATCAGGAGGTGGAGCTGGAGTTCCGCCGCGCCGTCGACGACGTGATGCGCCAGGAGATCGAACTGCTGCAGACGGCAGTTGGCAAGAAGGTCAAGAAAAGCAGCAAGAAGACACGTCGCTCCGGCAAGAAGAGCAAAAAGAAGAAGGAGAAGGATCTTACGCCGGATCGCACCACGGAGTCGCTGTACGAGGAACTGGTAACGAATGGCATAATACGGAAATACCCGGAACTAAAAATAAAACAGTTCCTCGGGGACAAGGCGTTGACCGCTAGGAATGGCACGAATCCCTCGCCGGGCGACATTCGCCAGATCCTGACGGAGTACTGCATCCTTCCGCTCGGATCGGATGCCATTCACAACTGCACTCCGCTTATACGCTCCATTCTGCTGGCTGGACCCAGGGGCTCGGGAAAGAAAGCCCTGCTCCACGCCATTTGCACCGAGGTGGGAGCCGTGCTTTTTGATTTGACACCGGCTAATATAGTGGGAAAGTATCCTGGCAAATCGGGCCTTATAATGCTGATTCACCTGGTCCTCAAGGTGTCTCGATTGCTCCAACCAGCCGTCATCTACATGGGCGATGCTGAGCGACCTTTCATGAAGAAAATCCCTAAGACCGATCGCACAGATCCGAAGCGGTTGAAAAAGGATCTGCCCAAGATGATCAAGAATATTGCCCCCGAGGATCGGGTCATTTTCGTGGGCACCTCAAATTTGCCCTGGGAGGCGGACCAAAAGCTACTGCAATCCGTCTACAATCGGTTTATCTATATTCCACGTCCCGATTATGGGGCCATGTCGCATGCCTGGAAAACATTGTTGCAGTAGGTGACCTTTAAGAAAAATCTTTTCTGTATCAACTGATTAATTTTTCCTTTTAACAGCGAGGCCGGAGGCATATCCAATTTAGATACCAGTGCCATGGCCAAGATTTCAGATGGCTATACCATTGGAGCCATCGATGCCTGTCTCAAGGAGGTAATGACCTGCAAGCGGAAGCTCCAGTTACGCACTCAACCACTTACAAATGCCGAGCTGATCAATGTTCTGTGGTGGGTATACATATGTAAATCTAGAAGTACAAATTCTCATAACTGTCATGCTTACAGCTCTCGTGATCCTGTCTATCGCGAGGAGGAGGAAGCCTTCGAGTCCTGGTGGTCGAAAACGCCGCTCGGTCGCCGACGTCAGAGATTTCTGGAGCTGGAGGAGGAGCGCTTGCTGGAGGAGCAGGCTCAGGCAGCCAAGCAGGGCAATGGGAACAAAAAGAAGGGTCTCAACTGAAAGAAAGCTACACATACGACCTAACTTCTTTGAAACACTAACAGTTCATTTAACAATTTACTTCGTTATGTTCGTATATTAAAGGATTACATTAAATTGTAATGCCCTATAAAAATAATATAAGATTTTTCTACATTAAAAAGGAGAAAAGCATGCATATCTTTAAATATAAATGTAAAACTTTGGATATAATAAATTGAAAGATACTAAAGGTTGTCATAGTCCCCAAATATCTTAAGGGAGAACACAATTTCCATATCCACAGTCTATTTAAGCATGTAGGTAAAGTCCTTGTTGCCGCATTTCAAGTGCACTTCGTTGACTGCCAGCGGCAGAGTGTCCTGATCTTCAAGGAGCTCCTGTAGCTCTTTCAGTTTGTCCTTCAGCAGTGCCTCCTGATCGCCCAAGCACCAAAGCAGGCTGACATGGAACGAGGCAGGCTCATAGAACTGCTGCATCCGGTAGTCGAGCATCACCCGGTCGATGGGCTGCAGAATGGCAGTCATCTTCTCCACAAAGGCGGGATCCAAGGGGGCGGCAATGAAGGTCCTGGTGCGCTCCTCGTTCGTGTAGATCCGCAGGCCTTGCAAAGTGGCGGTGAACCTAAAAGAATGTTTTATGAATATTTGGATAACTTATTTTCCAATTTAAGGACTCACCCCGCGGAGCTGTTAAGAGCTGTTTGCAAGGATCGCGAGAACTCGTCGATCTGGTGATATTGGAGCACCACCGTGCGACTCAAACTCAGGTGAAGTGATTCATTGGCATGCAGTTCCAAGTGGGGCTCCAAATGGGCAATGGCTTCGCCTTGGAACTCCTCCAGCTGATCAGCACAGGCTGCTGCCGGCACATAGACGTAGGTAGCCCAGTTTCCTCGCTCGTGCTTGAAGCTACGGATGCGTCCGCCATGTAGCGCAGGATCATCCACCACATCATCGACGAACTCCTCGGGTTTCGGTTTCTTGGGTCCCAAAATAGCGGCAGCTGTGGGCAGCAGGGCCGATCTTCAGCGGTTTAAATGTAGAAGTCTAAAGGTTTTGGGGAAAACCACTTTACCTTTTGAGGGTGCTCAAAGTTGGGGTTTGAATGCTTTCACTGGATTCTTCATCTTCAGAGGCGGAGGAGCTGCTCCCACCATAGTCCACAAGAGCCATTGTAATAATTACTTTACTTTATTTTAATTAAATTTATTAAAGAAATTACCAACAGCGAAGAATTCGCCGGGTCTTGTTTACATTTATCGATTAAATCAAAAGAGATGGAGGTTTAGCTTTTTTTATCAGCTGATTTGAATTCATTCTGTTTAAACTGGGGTGTTTTTTATAAAATTGGATTAAAAAAAATGTAAAAAAAAAGTTACTAATAGCTTTCGCAAAGAAAGTTTAAAAATTTATTTTCCTTTTTTTCTAGCTATAAATATTACTGATAAATCGATAACTAAAAATGTATCGACCGTTAAACCTATTACATTTTAAAACATTTAATTAAATTCAGACTAGAAAATAGTTGGATTTATTTAAGGGAAATATAATAAATTGGCTAACTACAAACTCCTTTCAATGGCCAACTTTTCCTCGCCAGCTTTTTCCAGCTTCGACTGCTCCCACCTGTAGTTGTAGGCCCTTCCCAGTTGGAAGAGCTGCGTCAGACTCACGAAGAGATTCACTGCGAACAAACTGTAGTTCTTTGGGATGATAACCAGGGAGTAGCGCGTCCAAATGAGGTTCGTAGCCCCCAGAGCCAGACATCCGTTGGGTGAAATCATGTCGGCAGGACGCGTCAAATCGCTGAGACCAGCGATAACGAGGCTCTGTAGTAGAAAATTGAATGGGTGCGGAGATTAGAGAGATCAGGCTGATAATACAGGGTAAGTCCCTCCATTGACTGCAAATCTCCATGGCATGTTGCCAAAGCTCTCTCTTCCAGCCACAACAACAAATATTATGAAATATTCCATGAGCCACAAAAACCGCACAATCATTTAGTTATCAGAATCTCGCGCGTGGGGAACAAAAAATATCATTTATCGCGAGCTTGAACAGGTTGCCGAGAAATAAACAAATAATAATAAAACACAATATGCGCCCACAGATTTGTTTATCAGCTTGGCGATAATAGAAATTGACTAAGGACGCAGGGTTTAGAGTTACGTAAGAGGTTTCCAAACTTACCCATTTAACGAGAGGAGCCCAGAAGAATATGGTCTTGGGACCTAAAAAGAAAATATCCCATAAAATATATTTTATTTAAGAACAATCAATTATATTACCTGCTGGGTGCATCCAAAGGGGTCGCATTTTGGCGGGCACATATTTGTCACAGGCTTTAATCAGGTTATTATACGCCCTGGAATGAAGACCCTTTCCGGCGGAAGCTGGGGCAGTTGAGGGAGGAGGTGCGGCAGACATCCTATCTGAAAGATACTTCCTTAATACTGCAACGTCTTCCCAAGAGAAACTGATGTAGTTTCGCAAATCGAGAGCAATGTTATTATAACCTACCTCTAATCAAGTTGTATATAATATATAAGGTGATTGATTAGAAGCGTTAGAATAACAGTCGATTGGGGATGCGATAAAGTTCCTCTCGTCCAAGTGGAGAGTAGAAGTGCCAATTCAAATCTGAGGCACAACAGCTCCAGCTAAGCGCCCAACTACAACTGAGCTTTCCCAAAAGTCTGGTCCACCGACATATGTTTATGTTTCTCTAGTATTATTAGCTTAGAGCTCCTGTTATCACCAGCAGTATCAACAACTAAGTAGTAGTCGACGCCAGCCCCTCTTTTCTCAGTTCATATTAGCCATAAAGTAAACTATAAAACTAAAATTGTAAAAGTTATTAGTAGTATTCGCTAATTAATATTGACCTAGGTGAAAAGTTTATGTAAGGGGTTTTATTGGTTTATAATTAATTTGTATTTGTGTTGGTAATTGTTTAAAACACAAAACGAGGTGCAAAGAGGTTTTGTGCACATGGCGTATACGTGATGCAAATACTCTCTATACTACTATATCCGGTTTTAAAACTACTTTGAGGGATTAAGCTTTTTGCTTATAACTTGCTAAAAAATATTTTAATTTAGATCAGTCTAATCAGTTCCCCTAATTAGCACGTTTATAAATAAAAATTTATATAGGGAATTCAATTTAAAATTTACAAAGATGATTTGTAAAATAACTATATTTACTTTTGCTTCTCTATTAAACCCAATCCAAGAATTAAAACAAGATAGTTTATCTAGTGTCTACAGTCTTACAATATATTGGTTTATTTGTTGACAATCAAAATCTGTCCAATGATTTTCGTATTCATAAAACTATACGCAAAGCCTCCACAGTTACAACTTAAGTAATACGAATCACGTCCATAAGGCGATAGACCATAAATAATAATGGTTAACAGATTGTAAAACGCAGATGCCCGATCTGCGAACACAGCTTCTTAATCCTTTCGTTTACGTTGTGCGTTGTGGGATTTGTATGTATGTACATAACATTTCGATTAAAGTCTATATGTAGGGGACAGCACCGGTATTCGATTCGATATGTCTCTAATTCTGCGCCGCCGGCAGCACCTGCTCCTTCTTCAGTTTCTCCTGACCCTGATGGTAGTTGTATGCCCGCGCCAGCTGCACCACCTGCGTGATGCCCACGAAGAGATTCACGGCGAACAGGCTGTAGTTCTTGGGAATGATCACCAGCGAGTAGCGGGACCAGATGATGCCCGTGGCGGCCAGGGCGGCACATCCGGACACGGAGATGGAGTCGGCCGGACGGGCCAGGTCACTCAGACCGGCGGCAACCAGACCCTGCAAGAGAAAAAACAACGTATTTAAAAAATTTCAAAAATGGTCCTTCAAAGTTGTTTATCATCTGGAAGTTTGTCCATTTATCTTATTAATGATTATTAAAATTGTCCTAGCCTATTCATTTAATTTTGAAGGCCACATTAAGAACGCGTCGAATAAATGGTAACTTCGAAACTTAGCTATATTCTGTTAATATAATCTATTAAATTGTTAAAAATATTTGACAAAAAGTTTGATTCAAATGGGACCACTCTATAAAAGTTGCGTGTATCAAAATGTTTTGTTAAAAATATGTAGAAATTTTCAGGAATTATTATATTTTTTCGGATCGCCGAGACGCAAAATAGCACATCTATAGTTTACGTATCAAAATAAATATAAACAAATAAAGTCAATTTGGCAAATTGCTACTTAAAATGACCAAGAAATTCTTTAACGTTTGCAATAGTATTTGGCATTGTAAAAGATATTTCAAGCTGGATTCGGGAACCTTTCTTCATAGGGCTCCATAATTCAAAGCAACAATCGCCTTTCGCGCACAAACACAAACCCAGTCACTTATCAAGCGCAGGTTGCTCGAAATAATCAAATAATTTCATTTAATGGCACCTGCGCACAGATTTGTCTACCGTCGTTTCGGATTTATAGTGAACGTATGTGTGCGATAATGAAAATCAGCGAAGGTCGTGCGTTGTCCGAGTTATGTAATCCCCTTCCGTCTAGTTTTTGGTAAACTTACCCATTTAAAGACGGGTGCCCAGAAGAATATCGTCTTTGGACCTGTAAATGAGATGAAATTTAAGAGGAGATCTCTATGGGACCGAAGATTACTGGACTTACCAGCTGGATGCATCCAAAGTGGTCGCAGCTTGGCGGGCACAAATTTGTCGGCGGCACCAATCATCCCATTGTACAGCTTGGAGTGAAGACCCTTTCCCGCTGAGGCGGCGGCGGATGGGGGTGGTGGTGGTGGAACTGGCGGGGGTGGCTGAACTGCGGCGGATGACATTTCGTAGTTTGTGCGAAAAAATTCCACGGGCTTAGCTGATGATTATTTATGCGTCCAAACTCGTTGGCTGGCAATCACAAAATAAAATCTGCCATGAAATAAAATGCTAAACAACAAAGTCAAAAAGCTTTGTGAGAGTGAGAGGGCAACGACGAAAGAGAGAGAGCCCACCCACACACTGACAAAGTGAAACAGCTGAGAGGGTTATTTACTAACGTGTTTAATAATGACACGTTAAGGAAATTGTCGATGCAGCCTGCTTTTGACTTTCTAAAAAATTGCTAAAGTCATGTACATATGTATCTGAACTTTATAGGAACAGGTTTTCGCCCGATGGGAAGTTCATTAGCTGCCTCAAAACGTCCTTGACCTTGAAGAGAGTGTGCCAATTTCCGCAGCAAAATGTTGACGGAAGCAAAAGTGTCTCAATAAATGCAGCACATCCAATACAAGTGCAAAAGTATCTATAAATAGCACTTAAATGCAAGTTTTTTTAGGAGTCACGCGATATTAGAGATGAGCAATTAAACACGAATCTGGGGATTTTAAAATGCAAAACCTTACAAAGAAATAAAAACAAGCTTATAAAACTCTACTTTAAATTTAATTTACTTTAATAAATTTAACTTATAACACGAATTCCACAAATATAAAAATTATCATTACACTTTTAACAGCTGTTGCACGAAAAACGCTTTGGCTGATTTTATCGTCTCTATTTTTAGTGTTAGTAAACGTTGAACTTGCGTTTATGAAAATAAAGAAAATATTAGAAGTTTAAAACGATAAATTTTAGCAATATTATATTATATAATTTATGTTTAAGATAAGCATTTCATAAAATTAAAACAAGTTTTCAAATGACTGGAAATCAATTGTAAAAACCTATGTAGATAAAATGTAAGCACCATGTAAATAAAATAGTATGAAAAACAGCCGCCAGGGGGACTTTAATGTCTTTAACCTTTTTTGAATTTAAAAAACGTACGAAAACCTGTTAATTAATAAAAAATATTTATTACCATGCTTACAAGCTATGTTTGTAATATTGAATAATTCAACTAATCCTAATTGATTTAGATTTTAATGTTTTAGTATTGCACTCACCTTAAGATTGGATGTCTTTCAGATGAGTCATTAACTTAAACACGGTCCACCAATTGGGGAAACGCCCCACTCCCTCTGTTGTAATTCCAACTGTATGGGCGATCGGATTGTTTATAAATATTTGCTGGATCTGTTACCATGTGAGAACTGTTTTTTTAGCTGCCCTACAAAAGGTAGACGGCAATTGCGCATTAATAAGAAACGTGCTCGAGTGACGCACTAGCTCAAATAAATGCTAATTAACAGCAACTCGGCCGACACCTCGAACGCCTTGCGTTGAAACGCGAAACGACTAGACACACTTGTGCTTATAGATTTCCGCTTAACTTATCTGCCTGGAAACAAAACCATGAGTGGCCTTTTGCTTTTATCGTTTCATGTTAGAAATGTATACATATGTAATTTCAATTACAAATCAGAAGCGTACATATTTAAATAATTCCATATAAATCAAATAGTTCTACATTGTTTTTGAAATTTTGTTTTTTTTTTTTGTTTCATTCCTGTGTGTATATATTTTGGATGATCTATAGCAGAGTCACCTCAATCGGATTAGTCCTTGCATTGCACACCCACACACCCACAAGTGTATGTGTGTCTGGAGTTTGTAATTTTGATAACACAGAATTGAGAGAAGCTAAAACGGATGCAGCTGATTTGCCGTTGTGTATCCTCCCGAGTTCCTATCCTCGTTCCTAAAATGAACCCGGCTGTCTAATTGCTGCTGCTGTGTGGTGGACAAATTATAATGCTATTATTATGTGAATTGGTTGGCGGCTCGTCGGGTTTTCATACACAAGGGATTGTGTACGGAAAACGCCAAATTATGTGTGCTGCACGCGTTTGGTTTCCACTTCACTGCTACTACGGCTGCTTCCGGATTGGATCGTTAAAAGTTGAATGAGTTCATTGGTAGTTTATCGGCATTCGGGTCGAAGTTGTATTGTGTGCCGTCGGAGCTAGGTGCCATGTTAGTCTGTTCGCCCTGTAAAAGATACAAAGTGGTTTAAAAAAAATGTTCTTTGCAGGATAAGTTAATAGCTCACCTCATCCGTAAAGTATTGATCGATGATTTCATAAGCTAATTTGTAAATTTCAACGTTCTCGTGGCTCTGCAGCCGCTCGATCTTGGCCAGACCCTCGCATTCCTCAATTAAGTTGGCCACTGCCTCCACATGGGAATCGGCCACCTTGAGCATATTGTTCAGGCCATCCAGAACAACCTGTGAAAAAGGGAAAATTAGGGTTAATTTGGTGGAAAGAAAGAGTAACTAATAGTCAATTAGACACCCCACTTACATTGATAACTTGCGTATCCTGGCACGAAAGCAGGTCACAGAATGGCGGAATGACGCCCTCCTTAATCAGAGTGAAGACCTGTTCCCTGTTACCGCTGATGGTCAGATTGCTAATGGCCCAGGCGGCCTCCTTCTGTGTCTGGAATTCGCCCTTGCTCAAGTTCTCGATGATTTTGGGCAGCAGGCCCACGTTGATGACAGCCTGCACTTGCGACTGATTGCCAGCGGTGATGTTGGACAAGAACCAGACCGCCTCCTTGCGGATCTTCTCCTTGGGATGGGAGAGCAGGGCCGGGAAGTAGGAGAGCGCGTCGTAGTTGAGCACAACCTGTGTCTGCTCGTCCGATCCGGTCACAATATTGCCCACAGCACGCAGCGCAGCGGTCTGCACCTTGACCTCGTTGTTGCCCAGCAGCGGTATCAGCTTGGGCACCACCCCGCTCTCGATCACCATCTGGATTTGCTCGTTGCCGCCGTCGGTCAGATAGCTAATGGCCCAGACCGTGTCCACCAGGATGTTCGTGTCGGTGTGATGGATAAGCACATTGAGTGCGGGCAGGATCTCGTGGATGGTGGCTGCCGGTGGCGGCGGATCCTTGTTGCGGCACAAGTTCACAATCACCCAGGTCACATTGCGCAAGAATGAGATGGGGATGTCGGGCTTGATGAACGACAGCAGTGGCTGCACCACACCGTGCTTGATGACGAAGTCGCGGAGCAAGGGACCGTCGCCGATGATGTTGCCCAAGGCCCAGACGGCTTGTTCGCAGACATTGGGAGCGGGCGAGTTGAGAAGTTGAAGGAAGAGCGGCACGGCACCGGCGGCCACAACCTGGTTGGTCTGGTCCGAGGTGCCGGAGGCAATGTTGGTCAGGGCCCAGGCGGCCTCGAACTGGAGCATTGTGTGATTGTGTTGTTTCAAGCACTCCACCAGAATGGGCAGAATGTCGCTTTGGATCAGATCGTTGATGGGTGGATTCTTGTCCGAGGAGAGCAGCTTGCGGGCTGCCTGGACGGCGGCCAGCTGCTGCTCCGGCTTGGTGGCATCAGCGGCTGCCTGGGCCAGTTTCTTCAGGTTGATGGACGTGGGCACCTGCTCGTCCTCGTCTGTGTTCGAGTCCAGATTGGGCACATTGCGGCGCTTGAGGATGGTCTCCTCGCGCTTGTTCTTTCGCAGCTCCACGGTGACTTCGTTTCGGCGACGGCGCATTTCCTGAAATCGAAAATATGTTATATATATAACATATATCTTGCTTCCCAGTCGAGGTTCGACGTTTGACTACTCACATCCTGATCTTTCCCTTTGTTTTTGAAGTTTTGTAAACGATTCTGCTCCAGAGACGTCATTTTCCGTCCGTTTTCTTTGTATTCTCCTTCTTGCCGCTTTAACAAGGGGCCGCAACTGCGTTTGGCTGGTTAAAAATGCGTATGCTAAAAATCAATTATGTGCGGAGATGGCGACGTACGCCTCCTGCGATTTCGTTGGACAATTAACAATTTGTTTCAATTGCACACACCAGCCAAGGGGAAAATTTAATCGCACACACACCGATGCGCACGAAAGAAAAAATAACGTACAATCGACCAACACAGTTGCAGAACAGCACGATGGCGCAGGCGATGAAAAAAGAAATGGCGAAAAAATACAAGGAAATTAGCATCGCCACTGGCGAAATGGGGGTTCTTCTAGTGTCTCTCCGTCGGGTACTTACGTTAGCAGCTCGGAAATTGCGTTTCTCCCACGACACTGACACTTTCTACGCCCTTAAAAAGTGATCAATTTCTTTCCTTTTTTATAAAAATTGTAATTCGTGACAGCGACGTGAGTGAAGTTGGCTGCGCTTCGAAATCGGGACTGTCCACTTATAGGCAGGGTCGATTGACGTGTCTATCGGCAGAGCTGAGCTTGTTTACGTTTAGCTTTTTTTAGAGGTCACCTAGGAATTTTAAGAATTTTAATGTATTCATTAAACAAATAAATAGCTCAATTGTTAAAAATTCAATAAAACATTTCAGCAAAAAAGGAAATGATTGGAAATGGTTTTGTGTCCTTATAAAATATAACGGATTTGGCTTGGAAACTATTTCTGCTACACTCCCGATAAGGAACTACCTATAAAAATGTGGTTAAGAGTTAATTTTAAATTTAAATTCTGATAAGCAGCTGATTAATGTTATTTATATCCAGCATAAGGAATTTTCTAAATATATCGAATTTAAAAAAACTTCCTTTCAAACGTTTTGACCATCTCTTCTTTTCAAAAATGTTAGCCAATTTTGGGAGTTTAAATACCTTTCAAATGGAGAGTTCTTTAGAAGAATGTCGTATGTGAATGTGAATACTAGGCTTTATAAAGCAGAAACCTGCTCTGTCTGAACAGGCTAATACTTATCACAATTACCAACTATCGCACCGCCCCCAACTATCGATATCGCTGCCCGCCCACCACCAGCACTGCAGTAAGCAAACATTTGGCATCTCTACTGTGTCCTTTATCATTTTCTTCATCCGCTGAAGTGATGGATTTGAGTGATAATAGCCAACTGGAGGATCAGTACTTTGTTTACAAGCATGACCAGCTATTCGGCGAGAGCTTCCCGCTGTTCAAGGAGATCCGCCGGATGGGCAAGCTGTGCGATGTCACCCTGAAGGTGGGTGGTCGGTGCAATCAATCATCCGCAGCTCAGAGATACGCTGGCCCATTATCTAGTGTCTAAATATATAATGCCATCCAAAATTATTGCAGGTTGAAGATCAGACCTTCTCCGCGCACCGCGTCGTGCTGGCTGCCACCATTCCGTACTTCTATGCGATGTTCACCAACAACATGGCCGAGAGTCGGATCAAGGAGATCACCATGAAGGAGAGCGCCATCGAGCCGAGCGCCCTGGAGAGCCTGATCAACTACGTTTATAGCGGCCAGGTGCGCATCGACAACCAGAACGTGCAGAGCCTCATGGTGGGCGCCTCGTTCCTGCAGCTGTCCAACGTCCGTGACGCCTGCGCCAGCTTTCTGATCTCACGCTTCCATCCGCACAATGTCTTGGGAATCCGCACCTTTGCCGACTCCATGATCTGCCGGCAGCTGATCGACGCAGCCGACAAGTACATTGACCAAAACTTTGCCAAAGTCTCGCAGTCGGAGGAGTTTCTCTCGCTGGACTGCGAACAGCTGCTGGAGCTGATGCGCCGGGACGAGCTGAACGTTCGCACCGAGGAGGTCATCTTCGAGGCCTGCATGAAGTGGGTGAAGTATGCGGAGGACAAGCGCTCCGACCTGTTTCCCCAAGTCCTGGCTGCCGTACGCCTGCCCCTGCTCTCGCCGCAGTTCCTCGCGGATCGAGTGGCACGCGAGGAGCTAATCCGATCCTCGCACCAGTGTCGTGATCTCCTGGACGAGGCCAAGGACTTTCACCTGATGCCCGAGCGCAGGGGACTGCTGCAGAGCTTCCGCACTCGCCAGCGCTCGGGGGAGTTCTTTACTGGTCAAATTTACGCCGTTGGAGGACTGGCCAGCACTGGGGAATCTGTGAGCACGGTGGAGATATACGATCCCCTCACCAAAAAGTGGAAAATGGGCGAACAGATGTCCATGATGAGGTGAGTGTGGTGGAATTTTATATTTTTCTTCTTTCCCATATTAATTATTATACTTTTCTTAAGATCTCGCGTGGGCGTGGCCGTTCTAAATGGCAAGCTTTACGCCTTCGGCGGCTTCAACGGCACCGAACGCCTCTCCACCGTCGAGGTCTACGATCCGCGGAAGAACAAGTGGTCCCAGGGCTGTGCCATGCTCTGCAAACGCAGTGCCGTGGGCGTGGCCGCTCTGGATGACTGTATCTATGTGTGCGGAGGCTACGACGGCGTCACCTCGCTGAATACCGTTGAGGTTTACTACCCCAAGTCCAACACTTGGAAGACGGTGAGTCAATGTCTATTTTTTTAGAATTAATATAATAAAACTGAAATATATTCCCCATTTCCCTAAAGGTTGCTCAAATGATGAAGTATCGTTCGGCTGGTGGAGTGACCCAACTGAACGGCTATGTCTACGCCCTTGGCGGCCATGACGGACTGTCTATCTTCGACTCGGTGGAGCGGTACGACCAGAACGAGGATGTGTGGGTGAAGATGTCGCCCATGCTGAATCGACGCTGTCGACTGGGTGTGGCCACGCTAAATGGGAAGATCTATGTGTGCGGTGGCTACTGCGGGAACTCATTCCTGCGGTCCGTAGAGTGCTACGAACCCCAGACGGACACCTGGAAGCTGGTGACGCCCATGAACTGCAAACGGTCGCGCGTTGCCCTGGCCGCCAATATGGGCAAACTTTGGGCCATTGGCGGCTATGATGGCGAGTCCAATTTGTCCACCGTCGAGGTGTACGATCCGGAGACCGATAAATGGACCTTTATGCCGCCAATGTGCGCTCACAGCGGCGGCGTCGGTGCCGGGGTCATTCGGATCGAGTAGCCGGCTCGGTGTGCCTGCCAAATACGTTTCTCTAGCCACTCTCGTCTTAGGTAATTTATGTGAATTGAAATGATGTAGTCTAGCCTAGATACGATTGTTGAGTGTAACCAAGCTTTAGCGGCTCCTCGTGCGGCCGCCTCGAATGCAACTCAGCCCAGCTCCTCCAGCTCTATCGAAATTGTTCATGTATTACTCACGGTTCTTTAGTGTTTGTCATTCCAGTTATGTAATTGTTTAGTTTCTACGCCTAGCCTTAAATACTCACTAACATTTTAATCCTTCAAGTAAAAACATGTGTAATTCATGTTCTGTGAAAATTAACTTGTTGTTTTCTTTTTCTTTGTAAAAAGTTGAAGGGAAATGAAATTTAAAATAGTCAATACCTTATATCCGTAGCCAAACTATATCGCTAAACCGAAATATTTAATTCAATTTCCTTGAAAAAATATAAGGAATCGAAAGCGTAAATACTCTTCGCGGAATCATATTCGCTACTATTGGTATAAGTATTATAGACTGATTTTCAATAAATCTTACTTAAATTAATAATTATCTAATTATTTTGTTAGTATATGTCTTTATGTCTCAGTTCTAGATCTTTTTTTTTCTCAGGAGTTATAATTGCATGAAGAATAATAACCCATTAAAACTATCTTATTGTAACTGTTATAATACTCTAATATTCGATAATTATTTAAAAACAATTAAATCATGATTGTTTTTTATTTGATTTTTAAAAAATCATCGGACTATCTTATCATAAATCTTTCTTTTAAAAGGGTAGTTAAAAACGCGTCCTTTAATTTCTTTACGGCTTTTACACTCCCTTTGTCGTTTCAATATCGAAATTCGTCCATCGTATAAATCAATTGTGTTTCGACCATCCATATGGGCGGCGGAAACGTTTTATTTGCTCAATAATAAATGGTTGACAAATAACAAAGCAATCTGAATGGCAAAAAAGTGGGAAATGTGGCGAGGGTAGCTTAATCAGTTGATAGTCAATATTAAACTATTCATACGGTTTAATATTTTATGCAACAAAAAATTCATAGATTTGAAAATAAATGTTTGTAAAGTGTGAAAATATTTATTCCCTATAAACTTTTATTCCCTATAAATTCCATAGTTGTAAACAAACTTAAACAATTTTTATAACTTTAAAAATAACTATTTTTGATGTTATTCTTATCAAGCATTTATCAATCTATTATAAAAGTTATAGCTGCTCTCAAAAGTTTATAAATAGGCTTAGGATTTTTTCAGAAAACTCCAAAGCGATCGACTTACCCTCGTTGCAACTCAGTTGGGCGTGTTGTGATTCCCGTCCCTTAATATTTGTACACCTCCCACAGGCGGAATGCAATTTTAAATTCAATTTGCACCACCTGCTCAAAAAACGCAGCGCCAGCAGAACAATTTGCGAGCAACAGGTGGCAAAACCGCATCCAAAAATAGAGAGCAGCGAAAGCGAAACAAAATCAATTTACTGTCTATCACTGACCCATAAAATGTCATCCGCTGCAAAGGGCCATAATCCAATCAATCGCACACTTAACGTCCATATTCCGCAGTTATCAGCTGGTCCCAGCGCTGGAGGACCTTATCTCGTCCTGTTCCCAATACCCAATCCCCAATTGCGGCGGCTATTTGCACAAGCGAACGGGCTTTGCGGCGGTCTTATTTGATTTCGATAATCAAATCACAAATTGCTTGTCTATCGATGGGCCATTTTATTTTAATTAAATGCTAATTATGTTTACCAAAATGGTTGGAGCAAATATTTGTTACGTCAATTGTGCTGGGGCAATAGAATTCGCAGTGGGAGTTTTACCACCGAAACGATTCGTTTAGTTGGAAAATGTGCTAATTGAGAAGGGGTGAGGAATTGGCTATTTTGTGCCCCGAAATCCGTTGCAATTTAAATGCAAATTTTTCGCGGGCTCTGTACACTGTAACTTTTACGACTCAATGGCGGAAGGGCGGAAGGAAATCGCGCCACTAAGGATGCCCAGATAAGATGAGGCCAGCAGGAAGCAGCGATAGCGGTGCTTCCACGTTTAATTTTAGACCGAAAAACTGGCGCTGTAGTGGCTGCAAGTTGCAACAAGCTGGCCCCCGGATGTGTGGCATCCACTTGGCCTTTCCGCGTGGCGAGTGGCGTGTGGGTGTTGCGGGTGTCTTATCTTGAATGCCGCGACCTCGCCTCAAGTGCATTGTTGATGGTCGGGGCTCGTTTAAATCTGCCAGAAACGAATTTCCCGGCTCAGCCTGTGACGCATTTGAGATAATTCCGCTTGTCCGCTTTAAAATTGTTTTAAAACGATTGATCTTCAGATAACGTCCTCTGTCTTATTTGTCAGCTCTAAATATATAGTATTTCATTTAATATTATCTATCATACCTTTGCAAAACGCAAAATTAAAATTATATCATAAAGAAGCTGGAAAATATGCACTATAATTTTCCTTCATAAGATTCCCCATTTAAAATAGTCTTCTTAAACTGCGCAACGATATTTAAAAGAAAATTTGCATTTTCCTTAATGTAAAAAAATTACGCAGTTCTATAGTAACTTTTTTATGCATAATCTTCTTTGGATTCCCGCAAATTAATATTTTGAATAACAGTTTGTGAACTTTTTAAATAAGCATATCCTTTTTGTTCTGTTGTTAAGGCCATTCCGCCTTGTTTGCTTTTTGGGCGGCATATGAAAATAATTTTAATTACAAATTTTTTGGACAAATAGCCAGGACAAAATCAACAAAGTGCATAATTTTTATTTGGGCATTTCGCATGCATAAGGTAAATCATAAATATTAAAATAAACCAAGAGCAAAATGAGTACAGAATAACAGGAATCGAAATTAATATTTCCTTATATATGCTTTTGGCGCCGCCAGTTGGCCAGTTGGTCGCCCGTTTGCTCCATTCTCATTTCGCTTTTCATTTTTTCGATTTGCCTTTTCGCATTTCGCCTACTTTTTGCATATGTTTTATTCACATATGCAAACAGAGTTTCCGTTCAATTCAATTGCTCAACGAGGAGGCAATTTTTTATTCCACGGTGAAGTGGCGGCCACATGAAAGAGCACACACACACCCGGAACAACACACCGAACACCCACAACCCACAATACACACAGTCACACCTCGTATCGCTTCAGATTCTATTCGACCAATTGTTGATATGCACGAGCACACACACACACGACACTCGTTTTCGTGTTCGCCTTCGTGTCCTGCCGGTCGGGCTTCCTGTTTCGGCTTTATCCTTCCTCAGCTTTTATAAAGGGCCGTTGTCGCTTCGATCTGTCGCTCAGTTGTTGCATACTTCTCGGCGCGAGCAGTTCAAACGCACAGATAAAACCGAAAGTGAGAGATATTTCTAAAGCAGTTTGGACATATTTGTAAGTGTCTTTTAAATGTAATTTTACAATTAAAATATACATTTTAAATAGGGCTAATGTTGATTTTATTTTCTAAAAGTGCTATGTATTTCCTTTATTTAAAAGTGTTAAATTTTAATTTTATAGATCAGCTCTTCCTAAAATATGCAGGAATTTTTGGAATAAGTTTCTGTTAAATTTAAATATGATGGTTTAGTTGTATAGTTAATTAAAGTTAATTAAAAGTTAAGTATACATCAACAAATTTTTTAACCGAATTCATTTTAAAAAAAATACTTTTTTGAAGTTCATAATTTTACACTTCTTTTTCACTTTAACTTTAAATGTGCAATTAAAAAAAGTGTCTCTGTGAAAAAGAAATACAGTTGTCAAAAATAAAGCGGAAAAACAAAACATTTAAAATTTTATGGTCCAGCATGTTTAGTGCAATAATTCAGCTTGCTTATCAGATTTAATATCCTATTTGATCTCTGGGGTCTGCTCAATGGCATCAACAAGTTTTTATGACAACACATTTGACCATCTCACCATTAAACTTCTTGGGTGGCTTCCACCCAATTTAAAGAGGATAAAAAGAGAAAATTTAACTTAATCCTCATAAATTCATCACATTAAAGCTGCGATTTATTTGATTTGTTGTTTGAAACTAACAGACTCCCCTGATAATTGCATTTTATACATTTTTTCAATGCCTTTCCTGAGAACGTGTTAATTGTCCTGATTAGCCGACAAGATCCTCATACCAATTGGGTGATAAAAACACACGGGAAAACTTATTGGGAATTTTCAAAGTCAAGCTTCTTTTGTTTTTACATATTTCGGTCCGGCGAGAGCAGAAACATTGTTTATGGAGGATGGCCGTCATCAATTGGCAGCCGGCGGCCAAAGCTAATAAAAAGCAACATCAATGCAGGGGTCCAGATTCCGGATTGGGATCGTGATGGAATGGCATAGGGATGGGGTCGGCACACATCCGGTGGCAGCACGCAACGGCATCCCATTTGGGAAGGCACTCTCCCAAAAAGACACTACCGAATGGGAGGTAAAATGGATGGATAGATGGACTGGGTGGCCACGGGTGACATGAGGCGGCGCTTTAAAACTGCCCCCGGGTCTTAACTTGTTTTATGTCAACTTGGACAACGAGAACAGGGCAATTACAGCATGTGTAGCCAGCAAATACACAAATACTTGAGTTGCAGCTGCGCCTAAAAGAACCTTTAAAATGTAAGCCACTGCAGGCGAGTGTGTGAGCCAGGACTAATTAACCCGGCCAACAACTGTAGCTGCCGGACTCATTACGGCATCCAGAGATGGCCGAGTGGGGAGTGATTCTCTGGCCCGGAACACTCCGGTTAATGATTCTCTGAAATGAGTAGCAATGTCGCTTCCAGGTGGAGAATTTAGGCAAATATTTAAATGTAGTTTAAGGACAGTTTGGAAAGGCCGTCGGATCTATCAATTAATAGTAGAAAAATATTAAAAAATGGCAAATAGTTACTGTTTCCAAAAAGAATGGAGAAGAAAGTTCTATAAGTCTCAACACTTTGGAAAACCTTTAAAAAATTCTCTCTTAAAATATTTTTTTAAAAACCTTAACCTTAGTATTCTCATTTATAAATCAACAAGAGTAATCCAACATGTTTTGGGGCAACTTCCCCTAAAAAGAAATGGTGAGGGATTTCGTAACTGTCATAAAAAAACTTTTAGCTACCTAAAAATCAACGAACCAAGACGCGGCTCATTTTTCGACCCGCCTTTGACTTACGACTCATCATCAGCGCATTTCTGTGGATTTCAATTTCAATCATTAGGGATTAATTTGGCCAAGGCACAAAGGTCACACATGCCAGGCCTCCTGCCACTCCCCACTTTGCCCCACGGCTTTAATGAGTCTCTTTTACAAAAGGGATAACGAGGCAGACAGGACGCGTCCGTCTCGGAGTCGCTTTAATGTCTCGCAAAGAACTTAAACCGCATAAATTTACATTTAGATCTACATTAACGAATGATGCATGATGTATGGCTGTATGGATGCGCTAGACCAGCGGGACCTAAACGGTTCTCGCGTTCAGAATGGGGGTGTCCCGGAAGTGCAGCTCCAGTGAGGTGGGTGTCTGCTGGTACTCCACCACCACCAGCCGATTGGAGCCCACCTTGAGCACCGGCGCGGGGACGTACAGGGTGACTTGCGGCCCAACCAAAGGCCAATATCTACCGAGATTCTCGCCGTTCACAAAGACAATGCCCTTGCCCCAGCCGGACATGTCCAGATAGGTGTCCGCCAAATCCTCCTCTTTCTGGATGTCCAATTGGCCGTAATAGATGGCGGGACCAGAACGCAGCATAGTCCGCAGCTTCTTGAGCTCCTGGAAACCCTGACGCACCGCCTCATCCGACTGGGTAATGAGCTGCTCCAGATTATCGTACGACTCCAGCGGAAACTGGGTCATATTCCAATTGTTCAGCACCTGCTTGTCCAGTCGCACATCGCGCAGGATTCCCTTGAAGTCGTTCAGCTGACGACCGAAGTTGAGGCGTCCCTGGTTCTCCACAATGATCTGCAGCCTGCGTCCGGCACTCGGACTCAGTGGCAAGTCGAATACAGGTGTTTCCCTGGCCACAATACCCGCAAACTCACCGTCCACATAGACGTAACCTCGATCGGCTATTCCGGGTACGCTCAAGATACTCGGATCCCGCTGGAAGCTGGGCAACCAGGTCTCGTAGAGCACCAGACCGGAATACTGTCCCAAAGCCTCGAAGCTCTTTGGTTTGGCCGACTGCACGAATCCTGTGGAAAGTCGGGATCTGGATTCGGGGGAAAGCAGGCTGCAGCAGCTGATCAGCCGCACAGTTCCGTAGGATCGCTTGGGAACTGGTCCGGGAACGGGTTGATCGGGTAGCGGTAGATAGCGGGCAATAATACGACGCAGGGCCTGGTACTTGGGCGTGGGATCCCCCGCCTCCGTCATCGGTGCATCGTAGTCGTAGCTGGTGATGTCCGCCATGTAATTCCCGGGTCCGATATCATTGGCACCGGCCGTAAAGCCAAAGTTAGTGCCGCCGTAGAACATATAGAAGTTGACACTGGCACCATTGTCCAGCATGTTTCTAAAAAAGTAAAATAGATTTATAAGTAGACTTTAAAAAAGATTCTACATAGTCATTAAGAAAGTTCCAAGTCATTAAGGTAATCTATAGAAAAACTAAGTTCTTGTGAAACACCTTTTATGAAAGAGCTCTTTTAAATAACAACAGTTCTCTCTATCACAAAAGTGAACTCAGGCCGATTCAATCTCATATTCTCGAAATAGGGAGATTTTGTCTTGAAAAATAAATCGATATTACTTTCATCTCTAGTTCAAGATATCTTAATCTTGAAAAGCCAACCCGAGATTACTTTCGTCTCGATTTCAAGAACATTTGCTCTCAAATAAATGAGAAGACTTCTTGTCAAATTTTTTAACACTTCTGAGAGTAGACCACAGTTATCTAAAAATTTAACCCATATTTCAAACTTACATAAAAGTGGAAGTAATCGATCGCGTGCTCACATTGGCCATCGGTTCCGTCCAATGGGTTAACCAGCCGGGATAGTACTCGGCGTTGACCAGCGGACCCTTGGGCTGGTACCTTCTTAACTTGGCCCAAACGGGCTTCAGATCGTTGGTGGCTCCAAAGTCCATGGTGGCCAGGACACCCTCGATTTTACCACAGCGCAGCACACTGGGTCCATCGTTGGTAAAGAGCACCGCCTGACCTTTGACATGACTCTCGGTCTCATCGCGAATCCAGTTGCGGTAATTCAAGTCGCAGGCGAAATAGGAGCCATATTCGTTCTCCACTTGCACCATAATAATGGGTCCTCCATTTCCATACAGATACTTGGAGATCTTGGCAAATAGTTGGGCATACCATATGCGCACTTCACTGAGGTAATCTGAGGGAATTTGAGAGTTAACCACTTAGTTCCAAACAATCTTAGTTGCAAAGTTTCGGGAAAACACTTTACATAGGCATGTAGCTTAAATATTTTTTTTTCCAAGCTATACTAAGATTTAATTACTTACTGACATCTGCTGTGCGGAGTTGAATCCCCGGGTATTTCTTGAGCAGCCAGTAGGGAAAGCCTCCCATATCACGCTCGGCACAAATATACGGACCCGGTCGGAGAATCACCAGCAGATCCTCACCCACAGCCAGGCGTATAAAGTGCTCCAGATCGGCAATTCCACTCCAGACATAAACGCCGTCGCGTGGATTGTGCAATGACCACTCCACATAGCTATTATTTACTCAATATAACACCATTAAAAGTTTAATAGAACAGAAATAACTTACGTGGTCACCGCATTAAGACCCGCGGCCCTCATGGTCCTCAGATGCCTTTGCCAGGTGGCTGGATGTGCACGAAAGTAGTGGAAGGAACCCGCAATGAATCGAAAGGACTTTCCATCCTTTAGAAACTGGTCGTTATCGTAGTCTACCGTAAAAGTGCGATTCGCTGAAACCGCTTCCAGAAGCGAAAAAAGTGCCACCAGGCCCACCACACAGAACTTCATACTTGGATTAAGAGGGGAAAAAAAGAAGGGTTTTCATAAGAATTAGTACCTTATAAATAGTCATATTAATTCGCATCCCCCATCCCCTAGTACGTTCTGATTGCAAATGACATTCTATTGGGTATTTCAAATCAGAGACAATTGTTTTCTTGCTGAGTTAATTTATATTGGGAGGTATATCTTGTCAGTACATCATGTAGAACATTGATAGTGCTACACAAAATAATTGAAAAGCTACCTTTATCTTTATAGCTACAAGAAATAAGTAGCCAATAACGATAACTGTCAAACAGTAAAGTGAAATTGTACTTTGTAATTTCTACTCTCTGTTAAATTATACATACTATAAAAATCAATAATAAAATCGAACAATAAAATTAACATAATGATGTGGTTAAACGGGTACTTTGACTTTTGGTGACATTGTATTAAAAT